CCTCAAGGCTAGCACTCTGCCACTTGAACCACAGCTCCACATCCACCGTTTTCTTTTGAGGGGTGGAGGAGGTCGGTTAATTGAAGGTGAGAGTTTCACAGATTTTCCTGCCCATGCTGGCTTTGAACCAGTGATCCTCAGATCTCAGCCTTCTGAACAGTACAGATGTGAGCTACCAGCTGTCTGGCTATGTATAAAGTGTAGCACAGAACTTACACTGTTATGTATCTTTTTGTTTCTCCCCCAGCAATGTATATCTTGGAGAGCATTTACTTTCAATGCATAAAGAACCACTGTATTCTTTTATGTAGTTGTATCATATTCAATTTTATAGATATAACATTGCTTACATAACCACTCTGCTACTTGCAGATTGTTTTTCTCTTTGGCTTCTTATAAACAAGAGTGATATAGATGAAATTTCTTTCCCAGGATAGCTCTGTAGGATTTACTCTCAGAGTATGATTTGCTGATGCCAAAAGGTAGTTGTAATTTATGGATTGCAGTTTATGCAATTTAATGGTTATTTCTAACTTGCTCTCCCATTGCCCATTTTTCTCCCTATTCATCAGATTTCTGTTACTGTGACAAATTTCTGAGGATATCAACTTTACAGAGGAAGAGTTTTAATTTGGCTCATTGTTTCAGAGCTTCCCATCCCAGGTCACTTGTCCTTCTTGTTTGGGGTTTGTGGTGTCCCAGCACATCACAGCAGAGGCCCATGACAGAGGAGATCTCTTTACCTCATGGCAGCCAGGAAGCAAAGACAGGAAGTTGCTGCTGTCCCAATATCTCTTCCATGGCCACCTCCAGTGTCTTCACTTCAGAGTGCCACTTTAAAGTTCTACAGTGACTCCCCTTTTTATCCCCCAAACATTTCATCTCATAAAGATGCTTTTCTCTAAGTTGGTAGAACATCTGCTCTGAATCCTAACTTTCTTTGAACTCTACTTTTAGGTCTGGAGTGCCAAACACAAGTGTTTTGTAGACCAAGGGGAGGGGAGGAAGTTAACTCTGGGACTATGATTTACTCTTATGATTGGTCTTTGAATCACATTGTGACCCATTAGGTATGTTCCTTTTCTACTGTCTCAAAACCATACCTGTTTCTTTATTTCTTTAATACTACATTTTCAAGTCTGCTCCAAACATTATCAAATAGGTTATTCACATTTCTATTACTGAAACAAATGCCTGAGATAATCAGTTCCTACAGAAAAAGGTGTATTTTGGCTCAAATATGGAGATTCCAGTCAATGGTCAGTTGGCCCTGTTGCCTTTAGGTCTGTGG